TATTATTATTATTATTATTATTATTATTATTATTATTATTATTATTATTATTACATGTTTCACTGTGTCCATGGTCCCAGCTGTTACAGATATTTAATCTCTATTGTTATCTTATCAGCTCTCTTCGTTCGTTCTGTTTTTTTCCTTTTGGAATGCAGGAGGAGGATGACGTCTAATGCCAGTTCCCTTTCGATTCTACGTTACAAATTATATTTAAACTAATCATATTCTTTAAAAACTAAATTTACTGCTGAAATTTTAAAGACTGCTGACCAAAAAAAAAAAAATACCGTGAAAGAAATTAGCTAAAAATTATCCCAAAAATACCAATCCGGCAATCAGTTTGAGTATCCCATGTTTATGATGTTATTACGTGCAACCACTCCAAACTCTACGAACCTGAACTACACAACTTTAGTTAGTATTCATCGCCTGTTTGATATGTACGCCACTTTTTTGGAAGCCGCTCGAATATTTCGTTTACTTTCTCATGAGTACCACTCAATAATGCGCAACGTCCACAAGTTGTTGTCAAGGCGAACAACATGCCTTGCCCATCGAAATTTGCTTTTTTGTGTGGCCGCAATAATTTCAATAAAGCTTTTTTTCTTACGATCAAAGTAGCTGTAAAAGTCACCAGCTGTGTAGATGGAGAACCAAGCTATGAATCGCTGCTAAGTGCCAAAGTTTATCGAGTCTCCATCCTACTCCAGGTACTCATTTCCTGCAATAACTGTATCTTGGGGCCCGAAATCTCAGTCTCTTTCCCCCTCACCTTCTCTCTCTTTCCCGCTCCTCCCATATGACCACCCCCCTCCCCCCGCATCCTAATTTTTACTTATACGAGAAGGCAGATACCCTTTAACCGCCCACTAAAACGAATCGTGGAGGTTTCCCACGTACATTTTAAGCATTAGTTCTCATGCATGGAAATGTCCTCAAGCAAAGCTAGCTAAACCCCTTCTCCCTTCCTCCCTCCTTCCGGTTCTTCTTCCCCCATTAGCTTTTAACAACAACAAATGTTTCCGATGGGGAAAAAAATACTTTTTTTATTTAAAAAAAAAAAATATTTTTTCCCCAAATTT